GTCCTTTGACAAACTCGTGGATACTAATGGCAGTTTTCAGAGATTGGGTTTCCTGTGCTTTTCTTATTCTTGTTGACATTCCAAGGAATGAAAGTAGTTCTTTCGAAAGGTACTTATATTTGTCTATTAATTTCTACTTTGTTTAGTTCTTTTTGTTTTGTTGAGTTTTGATTCAAATCCTGTAACAAATTCATTGTTTAAGCAAGAGCCAGCCGAAGCGTTTACGAAGACTACAAAAGACGACTTGGATATTGATTGCTTTGCTTGTAGTTCTTTTAAGGAGAATCAGGCTTTTTGTAATGTTCCTGAAAAGCACTTTTTGCGATGAGTCTTAAGATAAGATAAAATACAGTATATTTACTTMTAAAATTCGCCTACTTCAAATGATCATTTTACTTATTGAAAGTCTTTTTWTCAAATTACGAGAAAAAAAAGTATTTCTTATTAAAGTCTTTCTTAATCATTTTTACTTTTTTCGGTGAAATAATACACTGAATAAATTGATTACTCACAGTGGATAGAAATAGCTCTGTAGAAGCTAACTTTACCTGAATTTGAAACAAAAAGTTTAAGCTTAGTACATATATTATGATTTTAAATGAAATCTACCTTTATATACTGTTAAACTAAAAAGTGCCGTGTTTGTTATATGAAAATATATATTTTTATATTGACATTCAAGCCCAAGGTCCAAACATTGCTGTTCGCCTGGTTAATGGAAGCAGCACACACGAAGGSCGAGTAGAAATTCGATATTATGGAATTTGGGGTACAGTCTGTGATGATCGTTGGGGAAGAGCAGATGCTCACGTGGTCTGTCGTATGCTGAACTACAGCAAAGCATTATTGGCAGGAACAGCTAAGATCAGGGGGAGTGGTCCTATTGCACTAGACGAAGTACAGTGTCGAGGAAGTGAGAAGTCAATAGAACATTGCCCCAAAGATAAATGGGGATGGCACAATTGCCTTCATTCTGAAGATGCAGGAGTCAAGTGTGGAAGGTTATCGAAAGGTTTGTTCCATAATCATAATCATAGTATTGCACAAACTCAAATTCAAGTAAAAGTGTTGATACCAGTTTCATGACATTTAATTGAAAGATATGCACAGTTGTTCCTAATTTCTCTAAAATCTAGACGATTAATTCCGAGTTTGAAATCGTCAGAATCCTGTGCAATCGATAAAAATCGATATCCGAACTAGTTTCAGCAATTAACATTACCGTTTACATCGATTGTAAAGATTAAACGATTATTTTTTAATTAAAAATTATTTTTTCGCTACAGAATAATATCGATTTCCGATAATCGATAACAGTCGGTAATAACTAACTAATTGTATCGATTTCCGATACAATTAGTTAGTTATTGCCAACTGTTATCGATTGCTCTCGATTAACGGATTTATCAATTGCACAAACCAGGCAGTTAAGTAAGCTAATGGAAACGAATCTATTTTGTAGAGGAAAAAGAAGTTACTGCTCGTCTTATTGGAACCGACTATAWGCACATGGGAATCGTAGAAGTAAACTACAACGGGACCTGGAGACCAGTMTGTGATGATACCTGGGATATATYAGMCGCTCACGTGGTCTGTAGAATGCTTGGTTACAAAGCTGCGCTTTTGGGAATTAAAGGATATCGTGTACGGAAGGAAACTGGACTATGKATGGGAAATGTGGAATGTAGTGGCGACGAAAAACTGRTCAGYGAATGTTATCATCGCRGATGGAACAACACCTGGTGCCCAGGGGAACACTATGCTGGTGTGATGTGTAATGTTACAAATAGTAAGCATCTTGTCTTGTTTTAAAGAGAAAATACTGTCTCATTTCAGATTAACAGATATACACAAACGCCTATATTTTCAATGCATTTATTTATTTTACAGAGTTCTCTCCAGTACAAGTTCATTTGGAAGAAGGAAGCTCGCCCAACTCTGGTCGTGTTGCTGTTCGTTACGGCAACGTATGGGGTACCATGTGTATAGACGAAATAGATATCAACGCTGCTAGAGTTTTGTGCCGTATGCTCGGTTACCCCGGATCACATTATACATATAACTTTAAACCTGGTAGTGGTGCTATTTGGCTGATGAACCTGGAGTGTGATGGAACAGAAAAGTCTATTGCTGACTGTCGTCATGGTTGGGGGAATGCAACCACATGCAGTCATGACCGTGATGTAGCCATCATGTGTAAAAAAGGTAGTCTATATTGGTCATGTCTAGTATCGGCATCATGTGTAAAAAAGGCAGTATAGAGGCTTTGCACCATCACGTGATGGCAGTCATGACAGGAGGTATAACAATAGAGTCTTTTCCCCCTGAGAAACTGAAGCCTTTCTAATGTAAATCAGATTAGACCAGAATCAATTGTTCCTGCCCCCTGTCATGSYTACCATCAAGTGATGRTGCAAAGCCTCTATTGTCTATATTAGTTAGGCCTACCGTCACTCCCTTCCCCCCTTCCCCTGCTCCAAGAGCTATCATGGGTAAAGAAAGCTAATCTTGCCTATATTGGTCAGGTCTACAAACATCTCCTTTCCACCTGCACTAAGAGCCAACATATGTAAAAAAGGTAGTTGCAGACCTGACCAGTACAAAGAAGCGTTGCTTGTCTTGATGACTAGTTGTGTATTCATATTCTTATATTCATATCAGATGAGTTACTCAAGATGCCTTTATATTAGCCTTTATTTACGGGGRAAAAAAATTGCAAAGATATAAGAAGGAAAAAAAAAAGGCTTACAAATATGGCCTCATATTGTGTGACCATGACGTCGATTTACCCTACATTTGAATAATAGTTTCTAGAACTCTAGTTACTTTTACCTTCAGCTGACACTCCTAGATTCCAGATCAATGGWACCAACGCCATCTCAGAATCAACGGTGGTGATCTTGTTTAAAGAAAACCCGCCATTGATTGGAACACAACTGAAAAGGTAAGCTAATGCAAGATAAAGTCATATTAATATACGGATAACGACTATAACTGTTCCATTATTACTAATACTAATAATTGATCATAACGGACAGCTGCAACAGTCAGCATGTCAATTAGGCGTCCTTATCACTCACTACCATAGATCAATTATATTTCTCTTTGCCCTATACATTTTGCCAATCACAGGTAAATATCATTTTTTCTGGAAGCTGAGTATTTGGTATTTTTGGTTTTTCCTCGATAATCAATAGCTTTAACCGTCTGCAGAATGACATTCATAAATTGAAGTGCATTCTCTTAAGAACTATCTTCTCATAAATTATTGGTACACAAATACTAGAACTTAAGAGTAGAATTCAATGGTGTTCAAAGGTCCTTGTCTAGTGCTTCTCTTAGATCAGCGGTTCTTGCGGCTCCATCGCGCGAACTGACAGGGGAGATTTTAGGATTTATTCGAATTTTTAGGATAACAACTTTTCAAGGTATATTTACATACRAGTGCAATGAGCAATGTATCCAAGATTATTTCAGCAAAGTTCCAGCTCGAATGAAAGAGTTTTAATTTTGGAGCGATTTTCGTCCAAGTGCCCCTTTAAAGCTTAAAAGTTTTGAATTTGTTGGTGTTATTTTTAGTGTTTATCAAGTTGCTGTTGAAAAAAGAAACGTGGAGATGAACTTCCAATCCGATGGTCAGACAGAACCGTCTGCCTTTATTGATGACGTAAACGTAACCATGGAGACTAGTAAATTGAATAATAGTTACATCGCAGCGGAAATACTTGGTAATAGMTCAAGCTTAACGATTGGTGACTGTCAGTATTACCATGGTTACTACAACGCACCGTTAGAACCCGGATGTCAGTATAGAGTCTACGTAAGAGCTGTGACCAAGRCGATSGAAAGGGTACTACATATCTGATATATTATCATAAAACAGTCACATAATCTAMCGGCACTCTAGAGCGATCATTTTTTTCTACTTTTTGTTCACAGAAACCGATTTATAGCGGCACAGCTTTCGTGGCTTTTACGACCAAGCGGAAAGCTATCCCTAGCAAAGGTAACGTAAGCRATATTGTAACATTTTCGATGAATCWATTACAAGAGATKATGAAATTCAGTTCTCAGTATACTAGAAAGAAAATTCAAGCAACCATAATGCATTTWTTATGGACCATGATTTTCTCACTCAATCCTGAAGTCCAAAGCCACACAAAAAAATGTACCTCTTTTCACGAAACAGGCACGTCTGGCAGTACCAGCCTTGAAGCTGTTGTGATTGTTTTATCAGTCATCGTATGCATTCTTATTSTTATCGKTATTGGGCATTATGGTTGGTGTTACCTGAGGAAGAAGAAAGCTTCTCAGAAAAATAGCAGAACAGCACTGTCAGGTATATATAGACTTTGGTTATTGTTCACACTGAGAAAAAAAAAGAAGGAATTGAATGTCAACTATTAAGAAAAGCCGGGGGATGGGGGGGGGGGGGGGGG